TTTTTTTACTTTTAAGTGTTTTTCTCAAATTTTAATATACGAAGTATACAAATATGCATGTCAGAGAAAAGGGGGTTAACTTTACAACGGTAACAATTGTTTAAAAATCGGTTGGTAATTTTTTTATTTAAAATATTTTTTTTTTTTATAAAAAAAGGTTTTTTTCATTTAAATGTCTTGTTTTTTAATTTTTATATACCAAGTATACAAATATGCATATCAGAAAAAAGGGGATTTAATCGTCTTTACAACGATCCCAATTTTTTAAAAATCGGTTAGTAATTTCTTTGTTTAAAATATTTTTTTTATAAAAAAGGGTATTTTTTCCTTTAAATGTGTTTTTTTCTCAAATTTTTATATACGAATTATACAAATATGCATATCAGAAAAAAGGGGATTTAATCGTCTTTACAACGATCCCAATTTTTTAAAAATCGGTTANGGGGATTTAATCGCGTTTACAACGATACCAACCTTTTAAAAATAGGTTAGTAATTTTTTTGTTTAAAATATTTTTTTTATAAAAAAGGGTATTTTTTCCTTTAAATGTGTTTTTTTCTCAAATTTTTATATACGAATTATACAAATATGCATATCAGAAAAAAGGGGATTTAATCGTCTTTACAACGATCCCAATTTTTTAAAAATCGGTTAGTAATTTCTTTGTTTAAAATATTTTTTTTTTTTATAAAACGGATTTTTTCATTTAAATGTGTTTTTTTTTATATACGAAGTATACAAATATGCATATCGAAAGAAAGTTCAAAATTGTTTGAAATATAAGGAATTTAATTTTTCGAAGACCGTAAGGTTATTCGGTCTGTCAACACTAAATTAATCGCTTTCAATCAGATGGCCGGGTATGGTATTGGATCAAAGACCCAAATTAAGCCCAGTCGCATCATGTAAGGCAAACTTTGAATCACAGAGGTCGGTCAATAATTGTTTGGGGTTGAATTTCAAAAATTTTGTTGGTCCGTTAGTACGCATTATGCGTAAGGAATAGTATCTGTTCATATTTCAACAAAATTTGCAAGATGTAGTGGAAAAAATGAGAGTTACTGCTGAAAAATCACCCAAAACACACTGCACATGTTCGCAAAGCCTGGATACAACAGCAAAAATTTGCTTATTTGTAATGACCTCCACAATCCGCGGACATAAATCTCATCGAGAATTTGCGAAATCAGCTAAAAGCACAGCTTACCAAGTATCTAAGTCCGTAAAATCGAGTACATGAGCTGTGAAAGCAAACTAAGGATATACAGTATTGGCCAATACAATAGCACCTTCATTTCAAAGTCATATTGTTTGCCACTTAAGAATTTTCAATTAAAATACAGTTCATTCTCTGACAAAACTCACATAAACTCAAGTTTAAAACTTTTTAAAAGTCCGCAAAAAAGTGCAACAAATTTTCACCCAAATTTCAAACTTTTTTCTCAGAAGCGGTAGAATTTGAACACACAGTTTTATAGCCCATT